TAGAATCAATTACAAAAGACCTAAAAGTATACTTTAAAAGCTAATTATACTCGACACAAATGTTCTCCGCTTATGGGCCTCTGCGCTAAACGACGCCTGAAGCTATTTACACTGTCCGCAGCTTTCAAATCATTAGGAATAAAGTTCCAAAGTTTGCATCCACGATATTTGAATGAACGTTGTCCTGAAGACGGACGACAACGAGGGATGTGTAAAAGATTTCATGATCACGTAGTACTAATATGAATATGAGAACGAGATACAAACATCTTGGCCAGATCTTTTGGAACTATATCATGAAGACATTTAAATACCATTACAGCATCGTTAAGGAGTCTATCTTTGACAGTAAGCCAGTTAGGGGATCTTATACCATCTGAGATGTGATCATATTTCCTATAAGACCTTACAGTTTCCATCTCCATACCGGCGATGTGTTGCCTGACAATTATTCATATTTTACACTAACATTCCAGCTACCATTTTTTTCGATGCCTGTTTTTCATTTGCATGACCACAAAATAAGTAATATACCTAACCAGCCCTCCTCATTGAATTTTTAAATAGAAGGACCTCCCTGGGAAATGAAAAATATACCTAACCACCCATCCCTAATAATAAATGAAAAAATAAATGGTCCGAAATTAATGGTTCAAAGTATAGTCCAAAAAATGGTACAAGGGTCCTAGGGTCCAAAGGTCCAGTCCTATATTTTACCTATGTCCGTTTGGCGACGCTCAATAGACCTGAAGCTTCCTTTCCAAGTGGGTTTTTCGTGGTAAATAAGTGTTTCTTCTGTGTTTGTAACAATCCTTCTTAACAATACGTTTACAATCATCACTCAGCGACAACGCAGTTTTGCACAGCACCTACTAAAATTAAATATGCTTGAATAACCACCATGAAATGTATACGTTGTTCGACAGTTGTAAACAACGCATAAATTAGAATACTGCAACTTCTAATATCAGTCGGCAATTAAATATTCGGGCTTCGTGCATTTTTTATTTGAATAACACCCTTCACAAGCTAGGGCATCAGTTTAATTCTACCTCGCATTTGCATACAATCGGAGGTCACGTGAGATAGCAAGCATGCGTATCCGAGCTCAGTGCGAGTTTGTTGTCCGAGCAAACAGTTATGCTTTAGTTCACCAGTTCAAAATCTGTTTGAAAATAGGATTTTTAACCTCTGCTATCACGTAAAGCTGGCGAGAAAATGTCTAAACCTTCTGAAGAAGTCAACCTTGATTCAGACGATGAAGGAAAACAACCTGAAAACCCTCCAAAGAAGATCTTCGTGAATGACGATCAAAGAGCCTCGGGATCGGCCGTGCCACCCGAGCAAACCACCACTCCAAACAACGAAATGGCCCTCCTAACAACGGCTATCCATCAACTCACAGAACACTTAATGAGCAAAGAAAAGACTTCGAAAACCCCTTCCGTGAAGGGAAACGGACCAGGGCCGGTCAAACGACATGCAACCCAGACAGATCTTCCCGCCAAAAAACGGCGCCATGTTTGCTCCTCGAGCAAAGAGCATGTTGACGACGATGACCGCGACCCTGAAGAATTGATGAATGAGATCATTGATGAAAACAATGGCTCAGATCCTTCTGACAAAGAGCTCGACTCTGATGACCCAGATGTGGATGAAACGTTGGCTGAACTCCAAAAAGAGTACGAGTCAGATGACACCCCTGGAGCCAAGCTCCAGCACAAACAGCTTGCTAAGCTAACTGACAAAAAATGCTTAGACATCGTATGTCTGATAAAGCATTAAAAGACAAGCTGGATCGCCGAGAAAGGCCAGAAAACTGCAAAAATGCTAAACCTACCAGGGTTAACCCAGGCATCTGGCGAAAGCTCAGGGATCACACTAAGAAAAGTGATGCACAAATGTATAAAATTTAACAAGCCCTCATAAAAGGCATTATACCAGTGTTACGAATGACTGACCTATCCATGACAGGGAACCTGAGTAATGACCAACTTCAAACAATGAAGAAAATGGGCCTTGAGGCCCTATCTTTGCTATCACAATCATGCAAATTATGAGATTAATGTGCAGAGGAAACAACTTATGAAGTCAGACATAGGGAAGGATTATACATACCTATGCTCCTCTCAGATTCCTTTTTCTAACATGCTCTTTGGAGATGACCTCCATAAGCAACTGAGGGATATTGGTGACCAGAACAAGATTGGTGCCAAAATCCAACCCAAAGACAACCACAGCAGTAACTACAATTTTTATGGTAGCAAGTACTCTCACAGGCATTCAAAAAACTTGAGAGGCCAGGGCTGCAGGCCCTGGAAAAACATCAATCTGGAAGTTCAAAAATTACTTACGAAAGGGCTAATTGAAGAGGCTAGCTATGATCCAGAACAAATAATCTCCACCATCTTTCTAACAACTAAGAAAGATGGGACTCATAGACTTATTTTAAACTTGAAAAAGTTTAATGAGTTTGTTACTAACTATCATTTTAAAATGGGTTCTCTTGGCACCATAACAAAATTGGTTATCCAAAATTGCTACATGGCATGCATAGACATGAAGGATGCCTATTACTCTATACCAATCAAGCAATCAGACAGAAAGTATTTACGTTTTTACTGGGAAAATAAGACCTACCAGTTTTGCTGTCTGCCAAATGGGTTAGCTTGGGCCCCCTGGAAGTTTACTAAAATACTCAAGCAGTGCTGGCCCACCTGCATACTAAAGGGCACATATCAGTTGCTCACTTGATGATGTTTATCTCCAAACGCAGACATATGATCAATGTATTTTGAATGTCACAGAGACTATGCAGATTCTTGAGCAGCTTGGCTTCATCGTACACCCTGTGAAGTCTCTTTTGATCCTTTCCCAAGAGATAGTAGTCCTTAGTTTTCTTATTAACTCAGTGACAATGACTATCAGGCTTACCAATGAGAAGGCAAAAGGAATATGTGATGCGTGCAAGGATGTTCAGCATGGCAAAATTACCATCAGAGAAGTAGCCAGAGTACTTGGTAAACTAGTATCAAATTTCCCAGGGGTCATGCATGGTCCTTTATACCACAGACAACTCGAAGCTGACAAAACTGCAGCTCTTAAAAGAAATAAAGGCAATTTTGACTCCTATATGACATTGTCACATGGAGCCCTTCAGGAGCTACAGTTGGTGGGTTAGAAATGTTGAAAATTCCTTCAATGTAATTTACCATCCTAAACCTGAGCTCCTTATAACCACAGATGCCTCACTCTTGGGGTGAGGTGCTCATTGTGGGGAGATTTCAACTGGAGGAAACCGGTTTTTCTCTGAACCCCAGAATCATATTAATCAGTTGAAATGCATGCTATTCTACTGGCTCTGAAAACCTTTGCAAAAGAAAAGAAAAACTTCCATGTCAGAATAATGTGTGATAATACAACAGCAGTCAGTGTGTTAAATCATATGGGTTCTAGCCATTCGCATAGCTCTAATCTGATGGCAAAAGAAATTTGGCAATGGTGTATGGACGGGGTGAAAAAACATCGTCTGAGATATGTTTTATATATTGCACCGGAAAACGTGAAAACTGATAAACAAAGATCATTATCGGTACCGATGTATAAATTTTGGGTGTCTAGCGTGATCATTCGACAAAAAACAATTTGAGATAATCTTAGCGAAACACTTTGAACTAGGTTTTAGCTATTTGACAGTTATTCCTTAAAAGTTATAAGGTTACTTACGAAGCATAACTCTGGCGACCTCCATTTAGTTAGGATCAAAGTGCCACTCGATGTCCAGCTGGTTGCCAACCGTTCTGGAAATCTAGCGATTATTTTCTTATTTAATTTTGTTCATGAAATCGATCGAATTACATTGGATTGACATGCGATTGCATTACCTGAAAAGAGACTATTTTCGCTTTGTCTTTTGTAGTCCTACAGCTATGAACGATGAATCGTTTGCTCATCTGCTGCAATTTTTACTCGACGCTCACCATAATCAAGTAAACTTGAGTTAAAAATATCTTAGACCGTGACTCACCTGAATATTGAATCACACAAACAAATGAGATGTAATAGGAAACGATAGGAAATTCCATTTCAGCTACTCTAGCTTGCTGGATGGCTGAAAGTGATATGAGCATCTATAACTATATCACAAGTCTTCAAGTGAAAATAATTTCCTCTTCCGTGACATGACGAAGA